TCTACACACTGTAAGTTTTCCTAATTATCTTTGTAATGAAAACTGAGAAGCAATTAGTCACCCTTGGCTAAACGATCCTCAATTCTACTGTCTTTTATAAATAGTATAAAATAAAAACAGCAAACAACCTCAAAGTGCATTATTAATTAATTAGACATGATTTCTTAAAGTGGTTTACATTATCTCATTTAACTTTAGAGCTTCCAGACATTAATAATAAGTCACCAAAAGCTACCATGGATTAATAATGCACATTACCCCATTTGGTCTGGCCCACGAACTCTGGGCCCAGAAGGAAAAAGAGAAATGTTTACAAGTGAGCCATGGCAGAGATATGCTGAAAACATATCTGTATTCACAGAAAACAATTAAGCCTAATGCATTATAATTAGAGTGAACATTCAGGTTCATTTTATTCTAAAGTACTCTTTCTACCCTTGAAGTTCCATGTAGAAAGGGTCGTTAGGGTTAGAACACTATCAAAGGTGATACAATTTTACTTGGCCCTTGGACATGTAGGGTAAACATTTTACATTATTGCACAGTAACAAAAATTTACAGCCATAGATAACAAAGGATCTGATCAACATTAACACACCTGCTGTTTAAGGCTAAACCACATTGGAAAGCAATCATTTCTAGGATGGAGATCAAATATCTTCACACAGTGTCACCTGCCAGATTGCTAGAAAAGATTTCTCATTGAAAAATCTATTCATAGGACGTGCTTTCACATTTGTCATCTTCTTTTCACTTGTGTACTAGACAGAGGCACTTTAAGAGCTGTTGACTATAATTTTAGGAGTACTAGTCGAGTTTCAGCAGTCATTGGTAAATATGGCAAGGAATTAAAATGAAATTGGATTAAAAAGAAAGTCAACAAATCATTAAATCAGAAAATTTCGCCAAATCTTATAAAAATCACTGTTCTCTGATTTAAAGAACTTCCTTTTAATTTTTTTTAATTAGTAGCTATCACTCATCTATGTCCAGATAAGTAAATGCTACAGCTTTCTCCTGTTAAGGTGTAACGGTTTTGCTGTTTGGGCTTGTAAAAGTTTTCAAATATTGACAAGTTAAGTACTTTGAGTTACGTTTCGAGTAATATTTCAAAGTATTGTATTATACATAGGTTCCTAACAGTCAGAAAAACTAAAATGTCGAATAAAATATATTGGAGGAGTTTAGTAAAGTGTATAAAAATTAAAAGACTAAAAAACCCACTCTGCTTTATATGTGTAAAAATAAATTGCATTCATTTGTGGGAATCCAGTGAATTTTTTTCTTTCTTTCTTTTCTTTTTCCTTTTTTTTCCCCCTTCTTTTTTTT